CGAGGAGTGGGGAGATCGACACAGTGGAGGGGATAACGCTAGCGATCAGGAGTAGGGGTAAAGGCCGCCATTTAGCCACCTCTGACTTACGCGATGCTTCTGAGCCGTGATCTAGTGAACATTGAAGGGGAAAATTCAAAAGAATGTCCAATGGAAATATAAACTAGACTATAATTCATAACACAAGAATGTTTAATAGTAAATGGAATTATGTCGTACATGAGGGATTTGCACGTAAGCCAACTTTATCTGTCCCTTCTATGAACTTTGAAATAACACTCCGTATAAGAAACTCAATATTCAATAAAGACAGTTCAGTTGAGCAATGAAGAAATAATAGTTCTAATGCTTTAACTTTTCTCTAACGAATCACAACGTGTGGACAATTTTCGCTATAGCGAAACAATTTACGTTTTCTTCTATCGTAAAGTCAAAAATACGTACTGTTTTTTTTTTTTTTTTGCAATAATCTCCTTCTATCGACCGTGACAATTGCGTCGATTTGCAAAGGTGTCGCAAGGAAACGAGGAAACGATGCGAACGCTTCTTTAATCGTCCGTAACTCGCAGCCTTTTATTACATATTTCAGCAGACAGTGTAAACTCAGCAATGCTCAGCTGAAGTATTGACACATATTTATGAAGCACTTTGCAGAGCAAAGTTCCTCGAAGCGGTCCAAATAAAACGGGAAAGCATCCTCGCTGTTGCTTACCGCGAGCAGACACTATTCTCAGCGAGAACGCGCCTATGAAAATTCCACGCCGTAACATTAACGACACTCGAAATAAACCGTCTCGCACTCGGGAAACCCGTGCAAAATCCGAGAGGTTGGCGCGCTCGGTCGCGAGGAGGCGAGGTCTGCGCGATGGAATTCGAGGCGACGCCGCGCCCGGATACGCACTGCACTCAGGATATACCTCTGAATATTCTACGAACGTTCTTTCGCCGAGATGCAACGTGCGATCGTCCCGACAAAAATCATGGAATAACCATGTACTCCGCTCGACATCCGAGCACGCTGTTCGGTGTCTGAGGTGTTCCACGACGTGGGCGAATCGCCTGGCGCCCACTTACACGCGTGTCTATCACTGACCTGGGCCAACGCACGCGTCTGCTCGCGTCGAGATGTCTTCTCGAACAACTCGTTCGCGTCTCGCGGAATATCGAGGAATCTGGTAATCGTTGCTGGTCATACGTTAGGTTTCACTGACGTGATTCTTTGGAATTTTCTTCTAATGTAACTTTCAACGATCCTTTTTTTTTAAAGAAATTTCGTAAATTAGAAGACAGTAGGAGAATACGAGTATCAAACTTGACAGTTGCTTTCCCTACGGAGAAAAATTATGTATCAAGGATGTTTACATATCAGGTACGAAGAAGAAAATATTTCAGTGGAAATATCAATGAAATCGATGTCTAGAAAGTATCAGAATGGGGTGGATTTTCACGCGAATTCACATTTTTGGGAATAGAAATTAAAGAAAATGAAATTATCGTAGGAAGTTACTTCAGCTGCCAAACATCATACAAAGCACGATAGACATTAGATATTTTACAACTGCAATAAAAATCCTATCCTTGGAACATTTCGATCCGAGCACACTATACAGTTTTTTTCATGTATATAAAATTTATTTCTCAACGATAATAACGACGACAGCGATGAAAAGAAGTTGTAAGGGATGAAATCGTCGTGCGCACGATTCGAAAAGATTCTCTCGCGCGGGGGATGCAAATCGAGCAGTGAGTCTTGACGCGACGTTTTGTATCTCTTTTCTATCAGCTGACGTTCTGTTATTGGCCGAGACGTTCCACTTCTCAGTTGTTCTTCCTTGTTTTAAGAACGGGAGTTTCGAAACGGGCAAACAGCAATAACGAGCCGCGATGTGTACTCTCGGTGGCCTTTTTGCTCTCTTCCCCGGCCAACACACACACACGCGCGCGAAAGACGTTTCTATTTTCGAGCGGCGATGGCTCGCTTCACTCGCCCGTGTTTCGCTTCTTATTACTCTTCGCGCCGAATTATCGAGGCACGCGGCGAATCGTTCCCTCCAATTACCGCTCGTGAACTTTTTCGGCGTGAACTGCTTCTTACCGCTTTCATTATGAAAAAGCAACGAGAACGATACAGTTGTACGCATTGCACGAAACTTTCCCTAAAGCTTTTCGACAAAAAATTTCAATCGACTGAAGAAGAAAAAGAGGGGAAAAGATATTTAAACGAATAGGATTTTACAATTAACGCGCGTTCCAACCGATTTAACCGTGAAAGTTAAATTTTTTTTCTTTTTTCTTTAACAGAGAATTTAGAATCACCAAAGTGATGAAAATGACCAATTTGTAATTTCTATTCGACACTTTATAGACCGTGTATTTTTAAAGATTTGAATCACTTCTCGCAAAATATACGAATAAAAGCTTGCGTACTCCATTGTATTATAAAGTTTCTCTGGTTTTTTTAGGTTTTTGCCTCTGACAGAAATTTTATCACATTAATCGTCGATGGTTCTATAGTGTCAGTCATTTCTCGTAGGAAAATGTAAGTGAATAGAATGACGCGATACAGTGGCATGGAAGTGTAATTTATCGTCACGCGATATTGATTCGCGTTCTATATCAACTGAATCTATCATATATTTCGACAGGGCAAGTTGAAATGAAAAGGAACAGGTGAAAAAGCATCGGGACATCGGGAAGATTCCCTTGAAATTCTTATCGCCGGTAGTTTAATCTCTACGAAAATTAAAAACTGTAGTTGGTCGCGATTTTTAAAATTACGTGCTCTGATACGCTTCCGCGACTGGTTCTATTAAAAGCGACTTCTATTTTACAGCGAGGCACGTGATTCACAGTGTTCCCGGAAATAAAGGTGATATGCAAATGCGGGGAATAGGGTAGTTATTCTCGCGCCAGAGGCCGCGCCCTTTTCTCTCCTCGTTTCCACGTCGCGATAAATATTCCCGCGAATTCCATCGGCGAGAGTTTGTCGTGCCTAGGAATTAAAAATAAAGAAAAAAGAAAAAAAAAAACATCTGTTAAGGACACTCACTGACTATCGATCTGGTGTACCTTTACGTATATAATCATGGTATCGAAATTATTACAACGCATAGTTATATTTTTAGTTATTTTTACTTTTAATAGATGGAGATGCGTGAACGAAAAGTATGAATGTGATTTGAGAAGCATAGCGTTGGCGTTGAACGCTTTTCTTTTTGAAAAGGAGAGAATCGTGCGAGTTGTAAAACAGCGTTGAATGAGTGATCATTTTGCACTTGCATAAAAGAATTAATTGTGTCGTTTGAGTTTATTCGAATTATTGTTGTCCGTGTTTATTATTTGTTGTTTTGTTTCCGTTTTCTTTATTATTTAATATAATAAATTAAAAAAATCATTAAGTTATATCACTACATAATTTGAAGTTTCAAGGTTTCCTTGTTATGGTTGATTTGAGTTATTACTAAATTCAAGAGGTTCGCCTTGTCTGACTGATTTTGTAAGATCTCAGCCGAATACCGACTGACGATTAGTTTCTGGCGTTTGATTGAAATGCTAGGAAATTCGTTGAACACACGCACTCGATTCCGCGTCTTTCCAAAAATACTCTCTCCCTCTCTCTCTTTCTCTCTTTCTCGCGCGAATGAAACGTCGCGTTGGCTGCACACACGAACATGAGAATTCAGA